GTTACAATCTTTTAAACCCACAGGGGCAGTTATGCCCTGTCATACAGGGTTGTTATTGAGTCAATGGCAGTGAATTTGGTTTGGGTGCCTGATCACAAGCCTTCAAAGCTGCCTATCAGGGACTGAACTGTGTCCCCACCCTAAATGTGTCAACTCAGCTAGGCCATGATCCTCGGTGGTGTGGCAGTGATGTAATGCTGTAATCATCTATGATGTGACTGGCCAATCAGTTGTAAGGGAGCTGGGGTAGGATGCAACACCTTCACTCAGAACACAGTCTTGATGAGTAAGGGGAGTTCTGTGGGGTAGGGACCAACATCTAAGAAAGAAGAGACAGAGAAAGCGTGCTTTTTGAACTCAGGGTGACTCTGCTGAGAACCTCCTAGACCCAGATGAAGACCGAAGCCAAGACATCTGGAGGTCTCCAGAGAATGCTGGGTCCATAAATGCTAAAGGAGACAAGGCCCTTCCTTGAAACAAAGAGGCAAAGCCTTCCCCTAGAGCCAGAGCTCTGAATGTGAAATCAGGAGAGAATAAATTTTTGTTCGGTAAAGGCATCCACTTGTGTTTCTGTGATAGCAACACTAGATATCATGCTGTAGCTTCGAACTTGGCAAGTACATTGTTTGGGGGGTAAACACATCTCACCAAGTGGGACTTCTGTTTTCATCTGTGAAAAGGAGGAGGCAGGAGCCCTACAAACTCAAGTCCCTTTAGGTGTTAACACTGTATGATGCTTCTCCTTACGGCTAAGAATGGACAGGGCTAACAACACAATGACTTCTTTTTTATGTATCTTGTAGCAGTTGTTCAGCAACCCAAAACACACTAAAATGTAAGATGCGACTGTAACAAGTGGCACCTCAGATTCTCAGAGGCCAAGGCCACACTAGGTCTTCCTAAAGCCTAGATACTTTTCCAATATTCAGAGTCTAAAGGTTTCAGGTGCATGTAATAATATGCCCTGGCTGCAGGCTCAAGGGATTTCGCTTGGAATTGGTGATGTCTACCGGGGCATCACTCTGCTGGGAAGCCAGAGTCAATGAACAGAAGCTGTGCAGCCAGGGGAGATTATCGAGAGGGGCTGCCTAAGAACATCCTCCAAAAACTGTTCTTCCAAAACACTGGAATGCCCAGAACGCTCTGGTCAGTTCAGTTCCATTTTCAAGCTCAGATCTGAATGAAAACCTTTTAAAGCGTAGGTTAGAAAAGAAGGGGGTGGGGGGGGGGGGGAAGGAGACTCCCTTAAGATTGTCACAGATAATTGATTTTTTCAAGCCCCGGGTCCTTCTCCATTAGTGACTTCCTAACTTGGAGCCTCCCTTTCTCCATTTGTCCATGAGACTCTGAAAATTAATTTCTGTACAATCACCTCACCACAGACATTCCCAGGCAAGGTTCATTTTCCTCTGCCCACTCTTTATAATTTGGGGACACCAAGGGCAAGCGCATACACTCCTTTCCCCACGATGCCTAGGCTATAAGGACCTACTTCTGAGTCTCAGAACCAAATCTACTTCTGCAAGGAGATAAGGGTAAAAAGATAAAACTCAAATTATTTATTTAGTCAATTAATAACCAATTGATTCTAATCAATTCCTATTATTGGGATTTTGTCACCATGTACTTAAGATGCACAGGCTGCTGGGAGAAGCAAAGTGAGATAAAGTCTAGGTCCTATCCTAATTCACATACCAGTTCCTCTCCAGGTAAATTCTCAAGTTCATGGGACCATGGAACCTTAGAACCGCCCTTTCATACCCTGAAGGGCTGGCTAGGTGCCCATTCTCAGCCTTTACCACCAAAAACACTCCAAAAAACCAAACACAGCCGTTAAGTGATGTCGGCTCATACAGGCCCTATAGGACAGGGTAGAACTTCCCCTGTAGGTTTTTGAAACTGTTAACTCTTTACAGGAGTACAAACCCTCATCTTTCTCCCTCAGAAAGGCTGGTAGTTTCAAACTGCTGACCTTGGGCTTAGCAGCCCAACATATAACACACGACGCCAAAGACCCCTTTCTTACGTCTCTTCTCCTTCCTGCAGTCTGGTAAATTGTAGTGTCAACGGAGCTCCAGTTTTTTGTTTTATTTTAATATTTTATGGTGCTCCATTTTTTACGGAATACTCAAAGCCAGAAAGACTGCTATTTCAAATAACCCGTGCAGACCAAAGATAGGATCTCCATGACTCAAATAAACAGGTTGGGGTGGGGTGAGGGGAGGTATGGGGAAGAGGCGGCTTTCTTGTTGGAGCGCCTGGGGGTCTCCAAGAAATCACAAGAATTGTGAAGCCGGAAGTCATTCACCTGTTCTAAGCCCTTCAGTTTTAGAATCAGGGAAAGATTCCCAGAGGACCTAAGCCAGCTGCCAAAGGTCCTGCCAAGCTGGGCTGTAACTTCTCCCTGTAAACGTGGGGTGTGAATACAAAGATGCGCCTGTCTTCTGCAAGAGCTAATGAGCAAACCAAACATATTCAATCAACGTTGGACACTAAGAAAAACTCTATGAAATGGACAACCCTTTAAAAATGACACCCCCCCCCCAAGAAAAAGGACACTTCCTAATTTGCCCTTTAACTCACTCCAATTCGAGCTTTCTTCTTCCCTGGGGAGCACTCCTGGGAATGCATAGCACCCTCACACTGGAGGCCCTGGGAGGGGAGGAAGAGGCCACATGCACTGCCAAGTATGGAGCGCACAGGGCACAGAAATGACTTTCTTCATGTGCTCCTTCCCTCTCTCGCACACGCCTGTCTGATCATGTCCCCTTGTGGAATCTGGTTGCGTCACTTTCTTTGGAACCAGGGCACTGGAACTCCTGTGGACCTTCTACTTCCCTAGAGGCTCCAGGCCATGGACTTGCTCCACTGCCTGGATATACCTTTTGCAGAGGAGGAAATTCTGGCCCAGGGAGCCAAGAGGCACTTAGTCAGAGAGGTGCCTTAAGGATGGCCTCCTACTAGAGGAGAGGGGGCCAGTGGTTTCCTGCCCAGAGAGGGTGGTGGTGAATACCAGGAAGAACAGGGGTCTCAGTGGTCCCTCCCATGGGGCACAGGGCCCTGTGGGGGTGGCTGTCTCTTCAGAAGTGGTTTCAGGAATGTGGCATTGATTTAGTGGAGGGGTTCTATCATCAGTCCCCCCTGACTCCAGCTAGGAAAAGAGCGCTGGGCCGGGGGTGGGTTCCTCAGAGAGGCTGAGGCAGGATATGAAAGACTACCAGACTGGGTGCCACTGGAGGACCAGCCTGAGTTCATTTCCTGCCCTGGCTCCAGCTCCTAAGAAGCTGTGTCCTGGTCCCAAAGCAGAAAAGGGGCACAGCATTCCTGGCTCCCTGGTGGCGGAGTGCGTTACACATTGGATGCTAACCGCAGGTCCGCAGTTGGAAACCACCAGCAGCTCCCCAGGAGAAAGATGAGGCTTTCTGCTCCTGTACAGGTACAGTCTCAGAATGTCACAGAGGCAGTTCTACTCTGTCCTATAGGGTCGCTATGATCAGAATTGACCAGATGGCAGGAAGCGAGAGCAGCCTCTCCCCGTAGCTGTCTGTCCATCTGTCCAGGATTACGTGTGAGTGGGATGCATGTGAGGCACTGGCCAAGGCCGGTGGCTCCCTACTTCAACATTTGGCATCTTGATTCTATATAATAAAACTTGCCTATTAAACTTAAGATCAATTCCTGTTTGCTCTTCAGTAGGGAATCTCTGCCACCCCTTCAAAATGCCAGGCAAACTGTGGGGGCCGTCTCTTTCCTCTCTCAGCCGCGAGGGGGGTGTTGCCACCGGGTGGTGCTTGGCAGAGGGAGGTGCAGTGCAGTCCCTCTGAAGGGAAGACACTCAGATGGAAAGCGCTGGCCCTGTGACCCGTGTTGAAGTCGGTTGCCTCACTTATAAAATGGGACAAGATTAAAGGATAAAGTGCCTAGCAGGATAGGATGCCTTGCAGCGTCAGCATGGATGATCAGTCCTCTCCTACGTGCCCCAAGCCATAGTCCAGTCACTCAGTGAAACCAGAGTCCTGCTCCTCCACCTGACTAATTAGTATCCCAGCAGAAAAATCTGGACCCAGAGCAGAGGTTGGGGAGCCAGAAGGGCAAACCAGGACCACTGGCAAGGGGGAGGCAGCCCCAAGAACAACAGGCTTTTCCCAAAGAATGAAAACAAGCTCCACCCCAGTCAGGAATGGCTCTGTTCAGATGGGACCCTGAGGGCCAGAAACCCCTTAGGGAGTTTCTGTTGAAGTGGGGTGGGGCAAACGGCAAAGAGAGGTAGGTCACAGGTCGGGGACGGTTTCCTCACCTCTCTCAGAGAAGCCCCAGACAGAGGGCCTCAGGGGACTGGTACAGAGGAGGGATGGGGGTGGGCCCACAAACTCAGAATACCTACCCCAATGGTTCAGGCCTGGGAGCTCTGGGCCAGGTCTTTCCCCAGCAACTGGACTCACCTGGGCTCTCAGGGAGCCTTGCCCTCTAGGGTTGTTAAGAGTAGGAATTGACTTGACCGCAGTAGGCTTTTGGCTTGGGGGTACTCAGAAGCCCTTCAAGATTCGTTTCTCGAATGCCTACTGTGTGCCAGGCTGCCTACACCCAGGTTTTACTAGCATCCACATTGCTTGGCGAAACCTGCTTTTCCTGCTTGTTGGGACAAATTCCTGTGCAGGCGGCAGGGCCCAGAGGTAAGGCATGTGAAAGCCAGAGGAACAGCACTCTAGTTGTGCTCTTCACCCGGAAGCAGTACCACCACCAGCAGGCCGGGGTCAGCAGCATCTTTTGAAGGTGTGTCAGGGGCTTCCAGAGACGACGCCTGGGTATATCCTCAGCTCATCATTCCCAAGATCCTGTGAGAAGCCCTTTGCCAAGCTCAACTGGCTTCTGCCTGGTAGACCCCATGGTTGAGCAAAGGGTGAAGGCTATGGAGCAGATCTGGGGGGAGGGGGGGCTCTGCCCTCCCCTCAGGACCGGGGACCAGGAGAGGGGGGAGGAGGACTTGGAGCCCAACTCACCGAAAGGGGTCTCTGGAGGTGAAGTACGCGGGGACGGACAAGTAACTCCCCATCTTCTTCCCACACCAGATCACCAGGCTCAGCTGCAAACCCGTCTGGGGGTGCCTCAGGCCGGCAGCACACAGCCACCATGACAGGCCGGCGCTCCTGGCACCTCTGGCTGCGGGGCGGGCTGCCCGGCCCTCACCTCGCCCTCTGGAGCAGCCCGAGCAGCGGGAGGACTCCGGGCCACTGGCCCCCCAGCAGATGCCTGCGGGGGCTCATGGCTGGGGCGACGCCTCCCCAGGTCTCGGCAGCCTGGGCGGCCCTTCGGGAGGGTCTCCGGGTCTCCCCCTCTCCACCAGGCTACCCGCACACGGGCATTCTCGGGCAGGGTCTGGCGACTAGCTGAGCAAGAAGCGCGGCTGTCAAGTTAGCTTTCTTCTCCCGGCCCGCCCCTGAGGGAAGGAGGGAGGAGGAAGAGGAGGGGCTCCTCGCGGAACCGAGGTGTGTGGTTGGAGCAGCTGTTAGGAAACAGACCTTGCAGGCAAGGGGAGGAGCAGGCGGGCGCTGCAGACAATGACCAGGCTGGCTGAGCGTCCACACTGGGGGGCTGAGGGACAGAAATGCAGAAGGGACAGCTGGCACAATTGCCCCCAGACGTCCCCTACCTGATTAACAGCCCAAAGGGCAGTAACTCTGCTGGGAGGTGGGGATGTGAGTTCCAGGCTGAGCAATGTTCCCGTTCCCCAGAGGGGAGCCTCAGGGGCAGGAGAGGCAGGTCCTCAGGCTCCTGGATGACACCAGCCTCTCCGCCAGTCCCTTCCCTCTGCCGGAACGGGCCACCTCCACTTCAGAGCAGGGCTGCTCAAGATGAGAAAACAGGGCCCGGAGTGTTAGCTAACAGCTGACATTTATTCATGCATCAAGCACGGTGCACGAACATGCTTATTTCTCTGAGGTAGGAAGTATTAACACCCCACCCCACCCACCACCACCACCACCTCCTTTCACTTGGGTAGCAAAGAGGTAGGCGAGGTTCGGAGAGATTAGGTAACTTAACTACTGTAAAAAAACTCATCTGTGGCAAGGCTGGACTTGAAAACTTTAGCAGGTAGGGGTGAGGGGCTCTAGAGGCACAGCTGGCAGCCCTGGGCTTCATTCTGCTTCAAGGAGAGACGGCCTGTCCAAGGCCCTAAACCAGGAGGAGCGCACAGGGACTGGAGTCCGGGCCACTCACTCCGGTCCATCCTTCGGTCCATCCTGGCAACCATCCATTGTGTCCTTTCAGTATTTTCATGCTTCTCAAATGGAAAAACGAGCCATTGTGGAGGGGATAGGTCTGTGGGGGTGTTGGGTACAGTAGCTGGGATGGAGACTCTCTGGAAGAACCCAGCTGTGAGAGCAAGCGGACCAGAGCCTACCAAAGGGAAGCCCTCCAGGAGCACGTGGCAAATCAAGGCTGCTGGAGAAGATGGGCAGGCCTGAACCTCACCATCTCCCATCAAGCACACTCCACTGTGAGCATGGTGCAAAGTCTGTGGCAAAGGTGGTGGCTGGGTTTAGGGAGCAGCCTTTATCTTTAACTCCACCAACGGGGGTCAGGGAGCATGGCGAAAGCAGGAAGACTTGATTTCTCCATCTCTGCCATCAGGTTGATTCCAGCTATAAGAGAGCAGTGCAGCTCCGTAGGGCTTCTCAGATTCAACTGTTACAGAAGCAGCCGGCCTCATCTTTCTCCTCAGGAGTGGCCGGCGTGTCTGAAACAGCGTGCCACCAGGACTTCTTGGATTTAGTTTGTGCCTTGTTAATATGTTCCATGGGTTACTATGTGAGGTGCTCTCCATCTGTTAGGGATCATGTGTAATTTGGCAACCTACGGAGTAGGTGCTATCACTTCAATTTAATTGACAGAGAAACCGAGGCTCGAAGGGGCACATCTCTAGGGCAAGGAGAAATTGGGGGCAAATGGCCAGGCTGGGTTGCACACCCAGGATGCAGCAGTTATCGTATACTTTCTGCTAAAGAGCCAGAGAGCAGATAATTACACTTTGCAGGCAGCACAGTGCCTTAACTACTCAATTCTGCTCAGGTGGTGGGAGAGCAGCCAGAGACAAAGTGCAAACAAATGGCCATGGCTGTGTTTCGATAAAACTTAATTTATTTATGGATGGTAGTAAGATTTGACATTCATGTACTTTTCAAGTAGCACAAATTATTCTCTTGCTTGCCCCTCATTTCCAAACCACTTAAAAGAAGTCAAAGTCACAGGCCCTGTGAAAGCAGGCGCTGGCCATTGCTTGACAACCCTGTCCCCTGCTATGGTTGACTGCTTCCTGGGCCTGTGCAGATCCCAGCCAGCCCTGGCTACTGCCCCACAGCACAGACTCCCACAGGGGTCACCCTGGGCGGGACACCCACATCTATGTAGGAATTTCAACCCACGCAACCATATTCAGTAGTGCTGTGATTTCCCCCACTTTGCAGGCAAAGGAACCAAGGCAGAGAGAGTTAATAAATCATTTGCCTCGGGTCACCCAGCTGTCTAGGTGAGGTGGAGTGAGGGTTCAAGTCACTTCCATCCAGTCAATTCTGACTCATCGTGACTCTATAGGACAGGGTGGGAGCCACTCCCTAGGGTTCCAAAGGCATATTTTTCTCCCAGGGAGCTGCTGATGGGCTTGTATTACTGACCTTTTGGTTAGCAGAAATGCTTGATCTACTGTGCCACCAGGCTCCTTACTAGGCTCTAGCTACAACTGCCAGGCCCTATCTCTACTGGGTCCTACCATGTTATGCTGGAGGTCAGCCTGGCCCAGAGCCAGACTGTCTGGATTTGAGTACGACAATTCATTGCACGTAGAGCCCTTGGCACAGAGTCTGGAACACATTAAGGGTTGATAAATGTTGGCTGTTAATATCATTAAGGCTATTGTTCCTAGACTATGGGCTAACTATGTGGCCTTCAGCAAGTCTCTGCTTCTGTCTGGGCCTTGGTTAGGTCCCTAAATACCTTCCAACTTTAACATTTTTCAGCCCTATGAGGTCACACAGGGTTCCCTGTTTGCTTTGGGTCTTATGGTGAATTTAAACTCCCTGAGCTGGGTCTGAGGGGGATCAGGATCCTGGGGCTGGGGGCCACAAAGCACCACAGAAGAAGTGGTGGCTTGGAGTGAGGGATGCTCTGAGAACTGCCCAGCTGGAGAGCAGGGAGTCAGTTCTCTTCCTCTCAGTGGCCAGGTACTTCTCACCCAACGTCTATGATGTGCTCCCGTAACTCAATCAGGCAAGAAGGGGTTCCAAATGACGTCTGGCTCTAGCAAATTATCTGCTAATTGGGCCCCTCGGATTTCCATCTGATGAGCAGAGTACAGATGGAAGAAAATGCAAGCCACAGAGAGGCCAGAGCCAGGGCCAGGGAGCCGCAAGCATAACTCCTCTTGACATTTTACACTGCTCCTCCGGCACAGCAGCGGTGCGCATGAGTCTGTGTCTAGGAATGCGAGCAGGAGGCTGCAGGCGGCCTCCTCTCCCCCACTTCCCAACAAAGGGCTCAGTGGGTGGGTGGGTGGGGAACCAGCAAGAAGAACTTTTCACTGCCATGAAAACTGCCTCCCCCTGGAAGGGGGCAGGGGTGGGGTGGGGGGAGAAGCTTGCTCTCTGTGTTGTGAGCTGCCGGCGGAAGCTCCTCCCAGGTGGAGTCCATCTGACCCCCATAAATCCCGACTTCAGGAGGGACCTCTGAAGGTTTGATCACCACATGTGCTAACTCACTGGCTGTTCAGACCCAAGTGTGTGGTGTGGTGTGGCTCCTCCGGGCCAGCTTCAAAGGGCTTGAGCCACCCAGAACGGGGAAGCAAACAATCACATGGGAGGATCTAACCCCCTCCTGCCCTTGGAGATGGTCCCATGTGGAAAGCTGCTCCTCTGGGTCCCAGAGTGGATGGCAGAGGATTAGGCAGTTACGGCAGCTCTGGCCTTGGGCTGGCAGTTACAGCCAGTATTTTAAAAGGCTGCTAACCTCCAGTGCATTTCACAAGTTGGAAACCTGGTGGGAACCAAGAAAACGGACACTTTGAACCAGCTGCTACACCAGCCTGAAGTCCCAAGTGCCCTCCTCCTGCGGTGAGAAGTGGTGAACGAACACCTCACCTCTCCTTGGAGGAAGGTGACGTCCCTGGAATGGTGTCACATAGGTCCTCTGTGGGTGAGGAGGACTCCGACCACGACAAGGTGAGCACAGCCACCCTCACCTACTGATCATTTTTCCTGCTTCCGCTCTTCCTTCTTCCAACTCATCTTCCCCCTCAAAACATACCGTTATCTTTCTGAAACTAAGGGCTTGGAAATCCCACCGCTAGAGATTTTGTCTGGAAAGAGATTCCTATGAATGAGGACAGACAGGTGCGCAGGGAGGTTCAGGTGGCCACATTCCTTTTAAGTAAGACAATGGGGCTGTTGCAAATGATGAAGCAGATTGTAGATATCAGGGCAGAAAGCTGTCCCAGGTCAAGTGTCCAGGGAAAAATCCAAGCTTCAGAGAGAATGGGTATTTTCTTCTCCTGTTCTAAAAGCCAAGCTAGACCTGTAATCTTTCAAGAACAGCTGGAAAACTAGCTGCCACTGGATTACCACTTCCCTCCTTAGTGCAACAAGAAAACAGCCTTCTTTTTCTACCACTTGGGCCCTCTTTATACGCTGCTTACACTTGAGGCCTGCTTTTTGGAAACGGTATATGAACAAAATAAATGCCTGAGAGAAGCCCTGTGATTCAGATCAAACCCCACTTCTTCATGCCACAGCACAAATCCTGACTGCGTGCACCACTCAGGTCCCCATCAGCCTAACCACCCCTTGCCACGTTCCATTACTAACCTGTGCCCAGCAGCCCGCTCTGCGGTCTCTCTTAGCCCCTTCCTCCTCCTCCTTCTATTGCCAGCAACGTCCTCTTCCTCTTGCCAGTCCAACGGAGCACGCAATCCTCCAGGTAGGATTTGCTCAACTACTGCCACGCTTATCACCACTGTCTGGGATCCCACAGGAAGGCCTGCCTGTCTGCTGCCAGAGCACACCGTGAGGGCAGGTGCTGGGGACTCCTGTAGCTCAGCTCAGCATAGGCCTGGC